TGACCTCATTATGGGTCTTTTTTGTTTTGGTTTGTTTTTTGTTTGTTTGTTTTACCTCAGCCTTTTCTATTAGGTTCTGCTAAGCCTGTCTGTTGGGTTCTTTATTTCAGCAACTATATTTTTATACTCTTCAAAGAACTTGCTTTTCCTTCCTCATTGCTTATCTTCCCTTATTTATCCAAAGGCATTTACTTCTGCCTGTTGGATTTTGAAGTTTTGCCTCCCCTTGTAGCAGCTGCTGCATCTGTTACCTGTCTCTTAATCTTGCTTGTATGGTACCTTCATACCTCAGCGATGTACAGTACTTTCCCTGTCAGAGCTCATGCTGCTGCTTGGAACCTGCAGCTGCCTTGGCTGGGGTTGCCATCTCATACTGCAGATGAGTTTGGCCAGGAGCTTGGCTGGGAGGGAAGCACTAGAAACAGTTGCCCTGGTATTGAAGGCTAGGATCAACCACTCCCTTTCCAAATGCTACTATTAAAGAAAAAAGGAAATAAAAGAAAAAAAAAAAAAAGCTGTATCTATCCCATCTGTTGAGCCAGTAATTTGGGTACATCTGCAGGCCCATCCTTTCAGAACAGTTTAACAAAGATTTTGAATACACATTATATACCAAGAACTGTACCAGGAGCCGTTAGTTACAGAAGATGAATTAAGCATGGTATCCCTTGCCAGGCACAGTGACGTAAGTCTGTAATCCCAGCTCCTTGGAAAACTGAGGCAGTAGGTTGCCATTTAAGCTTACCCAGGGCAATTTCACAACTTAGTGAGGCTGACCCAAATAAAAAAAGGAAAAGAAAAATTATTTAAAGAGCTGGAAGCACTGGCAAGATAGCTCAGCAGACTAAGCATCTGCTTAGGCAAGCACAGGGACTGGGATTTGATCCCCCCTACCACATGCCATACCGGCCCCACCCCCAGGGGCACGCTGACACAGCGATTAAGAATGGGCATGGTGGCGTGCTCCTGTAATCCCAGTGCTTGGGAGGCTGAAAACAAGAAAATCGCTACAAGTCCCATCTACGTAGAGACCCTGTAGACCCTGTACCAAATACATAAAAAATAAAAATAAAATAAAGAGCTGGAAATGTAACTCCACGTTAAGACTCTAGAGTCAATCCCCAGTACACACACATGCGTGCATGCACACGCGCGTGCGCACACACACACACACACACACACACACACACACACACACGGTACGCCCTACCATAGAAAGGGGTAGAGACGGAAGCAGATTGCTCTCTGGGATGCATTGTGCTCCTCAGAGCCCACGTTAGGCTGAAACCTCCAGAAGCATGAGCCAAGCGTTCCCAAGTAGCCTGTCAGGTGCACTGTTGCAGTCGACTGATGTAATGCTTAACTGCCCCTCCAAGAGAGCTTAGGAAAGATTAGCCTGTTTACAGAGAGGGAAGCAAGGCCCACAGGAAGGTGGCAGTCTTCCCAAATCACACAGCCAGCTCTCCTAGATGGTGTCTTTTTGCATAGTCCCTTGCTTGTTTCTAGCCCACTCTGTTTTCAGTAGGAGTCTAGGCACATGGAAAGTACCTCTTCCCACTCAGCCGGTGCTGTCGTGGTTCACTGAGCGCTTGCTGTGTTGAAGGTGCGTGGCCAGACGCCATAGGGCCACAGGTCTTGGTGCCCTTCTCATCGTTCACTCATCCGTACAGTCACCATCGACCTCATGTCCACTGCAGCCTAAACCACTGTGAGGCACTGAGCTCGGCTCAAGGCAGACGTTGTGAGGTGCTGCTTAAAGGACACTTGTCCTCTTCACTACTTCTCCAGTGCAAACAGCTGCTATTATGTTTTTCCCCACATGTCCTGTTGCCCCGATCTGATTGATCTAGGGCCTGTGGCCTGTAGTTTTTAAAGGCCGTCCTGTCAGCAAAGAAATGAGGAAGCTAGGAGAGCTGGGACATAAGTGCCCGGCACTTACAGCGCAAAGCAAGGGCTTTCCTCTCTTTTGCTCCTGATGCAGCTAGATGATGGAGTGAAAAGATCCAGGTTCACACTTCCTGCCTACTTAGTGAAACTAATAATACAGTGGTAACAGGTGAAGGACGGAAGTGAGCTTTGAAACTGAAAGGCCCTTTCTCTTGATGAAGATGTTGCACTGAGGCTGCTGTCTTCAGGAAATGACAAAGATCCTTCGGGACTTTAATAACCATAATGGACTTCCACTCTGACCGTGCTGGAGTCCTGCTGAAGATTACTCTCTTGACAAAAACAGATTTGAAGACAAACAGAGTATGTGAAGCAGCTAAATACCTGAAGGGTTTTTAAACTCAGACAAAATGTTAAATCCTTGCTACTTCCAGGCCCTGAAAAGACAGCGCAGAGCCCTGGCTCTCAAGAGAAGCAGCACATGATAAGCCAGGTATACATGCAGCGCAGAAGGAGGAGAAAGTGGAGCAGAAGAAGCATATTTGAAATAATAATGACCCAAAGGGCTGGGGTGATAGCTCAGCAATCAACGCGCCCGCCTGGCAAGTGCAAGGACCTAGGTTGGATCCCCAGTACCGCATGCTGTGCCACTGTGCTGGCCACCAAAACCAGGTGTGCTGCGCGCCTGTAGTGCCAGTACTGGGGACGCTAAGCCAGGAGGATCACTGTGAGTCCAAGCTGCATGTCGAAAAGCTGTACTAAATAAATAAAAGATTAAAAAAGAAATAATGACCTAAAGAGGTTTCAGATTTGGTTTTTCAAATCTTAATTCATATATCCAAGAACCTTTATGAGCCTCTAGCATTAGGTGGATACTAGGAAATACCAGCTAGATACTGCAGCCCCATAGTCACACTGCTAAAGACCAGAGAAAACAGGAAATTTAAGTGAGCAGAGGGAAAAAATGCATCATCTACATCCTCTGCAAGTGATGGCCACTTTCTCAGGTGCCGCAGGTGCCGGAAGTACTGAAAGGAGTATCAGAACTCTGTCAGAAAGAGTAGCTTCAAGCCTAGAGACAAAATAAAGGTCGTCTGCAGGTAAAACTAAGATAATTATTGCCAGGATACCTGCTGAATAAGGAATGCTGAAAAAAGTTCTTCAGGTTAAAGAAAAGAAAAATGCTACCAGGAAACTACAATGATGAGGAAGGGATAAAAGTTACCAGAAAATGGAAATAGATGGGTAAATACAAAGACCTGTTTTCGTAGTATAAAGAAATAGTGTCTCAGTTACTCATCTCTCATTGGTGGGACAAATACCTGACACCTAAAATTAAGGAAGGAAAGGTTTATTTTGCTCACAGTTAATGGAGGTTTCAGCTAGCTCCAAGGCAGAGTGGCACATGGTAGCACAGAGCAGCCATTCTCGGCAGCAACAAAGTGCAAGAGAGTGGCTGCAGCTCAAGCATCTAGCCTCTCTCCCCTCCTTGCATTGTAATGCAGATTACTCGCCCAGAGCCTGGGTGCAGCACTCACACCTGCAGTCCCAGCACTGGATCAAGAGTCAATCACAAACTCCAGAAGCCGCCCCATGACTGCGTGAGCCTTTGGAGGGACAGCTAGACAGAAACCGTAACAGATAGCTAAGATAAATGTTTATGTATTTGTGTATTTCTGTTATACATAGTTTAACTATACCTGTATAACAGCCACGTATAAATTTTATATATGACCATATGAATTCAATATGTATAGCACTGTGTTATTCATATGCAGAGCAGAGGATGGCTACATTGTAAAGCATGGGAGTGGAGAAAAAAATTGCAGTTAGGAAGTTCTTACATTTTACAAGAAGTGGTACAATACTACTCTAAGTATATTGTATAAAATTAAGGGTGTAGGGGCTGGAGACATAGCCTAGGGCTAGAGTGCTCACCCAGCAGGAGCAACGCTGGGGCTCAGCTCCCTCCCTGGCTTTGACTTCCCAGCACAGGGGAAAAGAACGCTTAAAGATATACCTTGTAAACCCTAGAGAGACCTCCAGAAAACAAAGTCCTATAGCGAAATCATCAATAGAGAAATGGAATTCTCAGAAGCATTTAATTTACTGAAAGAATTGTGGAAGGAGGGAACAGTAGAACTAAAAACATGAGACAGACAAAATACCAAAATGGTAGAAGTAAATCAGTAAGTGAAATATAAATGAACTAAATACTCCCAACTAAAAATATAGAGGTTATCAGCCGAGGAGAAAATGCAAGACTCAATCACTTCTTGCCTACAAGCTACACTCTTTAAGGAGTAGTGTTCAGAGAGGATTTGCAGGAGTCCGAGTGAAGCCAGTACCAGTCATAGTCCCTGGACCCCATCCCATGGGCTTTGCCTCTGGTGGCCAAAGGCAACCTGAGACCAGGCAGATATCCTGGGTGGGCCCCTTCTAAGCCCAAAAGTCCTTAAAAAGTGGAGAGCCTGCCCTAGCTGTGACCTGAGGAGATGGCCCTGTTGAAGGGCAGTCCAGGTGATACTCTGCACACTGAAGACGGGGCAGGGACCGTGGGCCAAAGAGTGCAGGTCAGGTGTTGAGGTTAAGAGAGGCGGAGGGCCCGCTTAGAGCTCACAGGAAAGCATAGCACCTCCAACCTCTTGATTTTAGCCCCAAGTAGAAATGCAAATTTGACTCCAGAATACAGTATGAAACCAGCAGTCCAGCTCTGTGGGGACCAGCCAGGTTCCAGCAGCAGCACATGGAAAGTCCAGGCCAGGGCCCTAGGTGGCTCTGACCTTGAGGAGTCTTCACCACTGGTCTCAGGAGCCAGCACCACACAGGGCGCAGTCCTGAGCCCCAGCCTCGCTGTCTGCCCTCACAGGAAGCTTGCAGGGTTGAGGTTGCAGCTTTGGGGCTTTGGGCCTGCACCACCTCTTTACCACCACTTACAGCCACCCACACTAGTGGGACCCTGCCCTGCTCGCTTCTTGTTTCTCTATTTTCTACCTAGGTTTCAGTTTTTAACTGGGGTTTGTTTCCCCTTTGTCTCTACTTCAGCTTCCTTTTCCTGTTTGGTTTTAAGTAGAGTCTTAAAAATCAAGTCACTGTGCTGAGGGAATCTAGTCCTCTGACCCACGTCGCCCTGGGGGAACATAGGTCTCCTCTCTTGAGGTTCTCTGTGCTGCAGCCTCCCAGCCATGGCCATGTGGTGAGTACTGGGACCCCCAAGGGGACAGAGGGCTGTCAAAAGGGAATATCTTTACTAGTGAAGGCCATGGAGAAATCACCAGGTACCCTTGTTATACCAATCAACGGTCAGAAAATCCAAGACCTAAGTGCAAGGGACTTGCCCATGGTCACATGAAAAGCTAGTGGCTTCACTCCTTGCCTGCCAGCCTTTCCCTTCCCAAACTCCTATCTCTTGATGTCTGCAACCTGGAGTGGCTCCTCAGCTGCCTGCCTTGGAGGACAGGGAGGAGTGCTGAGCACTCAGTGACTGATGCCTAACTCGGTGGTGGCCTGGGGTCCTGGCTTTCCACCCTGGGATGACCCAAGCTTGGCAAGCAGAGACCAAGGCACCTTTTACAATGAAAACTTGAACTAGGGTAGCACTCACTAGGACCCTCAGGCCACTTGGTCTGGAGCCTGGCTCAGCCACAGCTAAGCATGCTTGTTGTACCTGCTCTTCCTCAGGCCGGGACCACAGTTTGAACATGGCTGTCCCCTGCCCTGTTACTCCACAGAGGTTATAGGCAATAGCACAGAGTTTTCTTCCCAGAGAATTGCACCTTGGATTTAATTTAATACTTTACACTTTTGTGCCTAGCTTAAAATATGAATCCCTCACCTTAAATTGACATCTTCCAAACTTGCTCAACCAGTGCTCTTCCTCAAGTCTGTTGCCCTCTTGGACAGGCAAGGGAGGTGCTGCCATGTCTGAGGGTGCTGAGCTCTGAAGCACTGTGGGGCCTGCAGGGCAGCAGGGCAGTGGGGAAGGACTGCCGCTGGAGCTCCCCATTGCTCCCCAAGGTGGCACCCCCCACCTTGCTTCTCCCAGGTGGGGCTCCTGGACACACTTTGCAGTGAGTGAGCCCATGATGGGCCAGCAGGTGGAACGTGTCCCAAGTGCCTCCAGCATGCAGAGGCCAGCCAGGCTGGGGAGATGCACCACTCGTGCCATCATATTTGGTGGCTTTATTCCTGTTCTTTTGCAGCCAGTTTTCTGTCATCTGATCGTTTTCCTGAAAGGAAAATGGACAGGTGGGACTGTAGAAAGCAGAATGCTTCCCGTGCCAAAGTAAGTTGTTTCCAGTTCTGAATGGCGCCATGAGAAGCGTAGGCAGCTTGCTCTGCTGTCAGTCACTGATGGCAGGAGATACTGAGAGGTAAAAGAGTTGAAAGCACAGCATTTTATTTAAAGGGCTTTTAAGACTTAGAGATTGCAAGGTCTGCGCCTGCAAAGCATGCCGGACACTAGCAACAGTAGATTGGGGCGGGATACTGCCAGAGGAGGCAGGTGTAAGCAGGCAGGAGCTCCCTCCCCTCCGCAGGCTCCTGGAGTAAGTCTTGAGCGTTTATTGACAAGAGCCAGGTTAAGCGAAGAAGTGACCAAGGTACTTGCTGCCTTTCCAGGCATCACATGAAGGACAAGTAAGCACCTAGGGGTGTGCAGGGGTTCACAAGTCCTCTTTGTAAAGGCAGGGGAAGCTGGTGGGCAGCACAAGGACACTGAATGGCAGCAGAAAGTAGAATGGACTAAACTGGGAAGGTAGCGGTTTCTCAGGGCCAGGCCTGAAAGTCCAGTCTTCCTTAATAGCCTCCATAGCCCTGGGAGGGGACTCCTGCATGACAGCACTGCACCAGCCATGCTGGTGAGTGTCCCTGGGAGATAGGACTTCTGGGGAGCACCATGATGGTTGGTGTTATCTGAAGAATGTGCTTTCAGTGAGTGAAAGAGATCCAGAGCCAGCCCTTCCTATGCCCCTGCTGCTCGCTGCAGTGTGACAGCATTGCCCTCTCTCTCTCTCACATGGCAGGAAAACCGTCCTCTGGCCTCGGGTCACGCACACACAGCGGTGTGGAGCCGCCCAGTGTGCAGGCAGCACAGCAGACCAGAAGTGATGACAGGAAGGACAGCAAGAGTGGAGAGGCTGGGGCTGTCAGGAAAGACCTCAAGGAAAAAGTGAGCTCTCAGGCAAACTTTGAAGAACAAGAGAGATTTTGGGGGACCAAGAGGGGGTGCTCTGGGAGCTGGGCAGACAGAACAAGCTGGGTGGGCAGTCTTGTCCTCTTGGAGATATTCAAGAAATACTAAGCAAGAGCTGCAGGAAGGCCACTAGAGCGATGGTGTAGGGAATGCCTCGACTGCCCCCTGGGCAGGCCTATGGTTGACCCCAGTGGGACATGAAGCAGCCATGTAAATCTCTAGAGATGAAAACACCAGGCAGCAGTAAGTGTCGTGAGATGGGGACACCTTGGCAGGCTCCAGGGTCAGGAAAAGAAGAAGCTGATAGCACACTAAGAGGGCCAGAGTAGAGGAGCTGAGTTCCTGCAGAGCCTAGGCGGGGTTCTCAGCTGAGGGAGAGGCCTCTAGGGGATCCTGCAGAGGACCCCTCTGACTGCTGTGTGGCTCAGAGCTGGCAATGACAGGAATGAAGGCAGCAAGACCCCGTGGAAGCTCCGCATCTCCCAGGCCAGGGGTGGCAGCGGAACAGGGCTCAGCTAGAGAGAGGCAGCAGATGCAGAAAAGATGGGCAGCAGGACCTGGGGCCTCTGGGTAGAGCCACTGCGGACATGAGGAACACAAGTCCCATGACTAGGGGCAATACCTTTGGCCACATTGAGCGAGGCCTGGTACAGAGAGCTACAGAGCTGGTGAGGAAACCTGTGGGCCTGGATCCTGGCTAGAAGAGGTAGAGCAAGGTGGAGTGACACTGCAGTGTGACGGAGAAAGCACAGCAGCAGAGGGATGGGGTATCTGTCCTCCGGGGTGAGCCAGGCCACCTCACCCCAGGCCGCCCCTGCCCAGTCTTCATCATGCTTTGTATTTCTTTCTAAAGCACCCATCACGTAATGCATCACACAACTTCTTTTTTTTTTTTTTTTAACAGGGTCTACATTTATTTATTTTTTTTTCTTTTCAAAGTTTTATTGATAAACATATAGCAAAAAATATTCCCTTTTTCTTTTATTTATTTATGTGTGCGTGCGTGTGTGTGTGTGTGTGTGTGTGTGTGGCCAGCTCAGCCCACCGGGGGGCGGGGCTGGCTTGCATGTGGTGCTGGGGGATTGAACCGTGGTCCCTGTGCTTTGCTAAGTTTGTTCTAAGTAGGTGCTTTAGACCACTGAGCCATCTCACCAGCCCCACACAACTTCTTTACATAGTACTGTATCATTATGTTTGCTATTTGTTGTCTGGCTCCAAGAAAGCAAGGATTTCCATCTATTTAGTTCCCTAGTGTGACCCAAAGTCTGAAACATTGCCTAAAAGCATGTGTTTACTGGCTTGCAGGCTTTCATTTGGATCCCAGTGGTACTGGGGATGCTGGGCTGCCATGGTCACTTCTCAGTGGAGCTTCTGGTGTCAGGGTTAGAGAGGCGACCAGAGAGATACATGTCACAGCCTCCCAGCGTTGTACCCATGGCTGGCTGTGTGTTGGGCAGCTGGCTGACTGGACACAGTCATCTCGCTGCTTCCACTGGCCTAATAGGTGCAAAGTTGTAAAGCCCTCACCCAACCCCATCACCCACAGGCCCTCTCGCCAAAACCTGGGCCTCTGCCAGTGTTTGAAGACAACAGGAGGTCTCTGTCCCAGAGGTTTGTGACCAATGAGGGCCTCAGAGTTCTCATGGCTACTCTCCCAGATCACATTTCCTTAGAGATATGTAGCCCTGTCTCTTGGAGAGCATCTGGAACCTCAGACTCCTGCATCCCAAAGGACCCAATAAGCTGCCAGTCCAGACAATGCCATTGTCAAGGGTCTGTACCCCTCTCATGAGAGTGTTGAGCTCTTCTGGCTGCTGGGCAGAAGACTGGGAATTGGTGACTGAGCCCACAGATGAGCAAAGGGAAGCAGCTAGTCTTTCTGAGAGTGCTAGGTGTTTTGGGGTTTTGTTGTTAATGTTTAATGTATGTGGAATACAGTCTCACTACAGAGCTTGGACGCGTGACCCGCCTGTTTTCAGCCTCCCGAGCTCTGGGATTACAGGCATGTGCCACCACACCAGGACTAGTGGCCAACTCAGTGGGCCTGGGGGCAGGGTGGCAAGGCATATGGTGCTGGGGATCGAACCCCAGACCTTACGCTTGCCTAAGTAGGCACTTGGTCTGCTGAACTGTCTTGCCAGCCTGGGGGGCTGCATGCTAACTGTTATGCTAGCCGCCTCATCTGTGTTGTGCGAAACCCTCATATTCACTCTCTGAAGTAGTGTAAGGCTCTTCCCCAGAACAAGGGTCAGAAGCAATATGGCAGAGCTGGGCTCTGGAGCCAGGTCTCAACTCTCAGGATCGGTTTCCTAGTGGTGGCTTCTCAACAGAACTTGCCTAAAATTGCAGTCAAGGTTAGAGGAGCCTACGAATCTCTGATTTTATGGAGTCTGTCCCAGATTACAGTCCTCTCCCTTCTGTGCGCGTTCATGCTGGGTAAACATTATGCAGTTCCTGCTGGTGGTTGAATGGAGCCAAGTGGCCACACAGAGAGTCAGGGGCACTCATTCACACACTGTCGTGTACCCTCAAGAGATGAATGTGGCACAGGACTTGAACCAGGCCTCTTCTCCACAGCTGGGCCAGGGCTGTGCTGAAGCCTAGCCCACCTCCCCAGTGATCCCTCACAGACACGGGCACACATCAGAATTTATAAAGAAATGTTTGAGCTCTAGAGAGCTGGCTCAGTGCCATATGCCTGTAATGCCAAGAGCTCAGAAGCCTGAGGCAGGGAGACCACAGGATGAGCCAAGCCTAGACAGCTTGGTGAGATCCTGCCTCAAGATAAAACCTGAAAAGGACTGGGGGTAGCATAGTGCAAAGGGCTTGTACTCCCAATTCCTACCAAAAGCAAAGCAAAAAGTCAGCCTATGGGTAATTTCTAACCTAGCAAGGGAGAGATCCGCCTTTATGTGGCAGATCTGATGAGCTTCCCTTGACTAGCCCTTGCCTCTCAAATCAGAGGCACCTAAGGTTACATGGTTGCATGCAGCCAGAAGTGTTGCCCACTGTTGGCTGTGTAGGATTCTTCCTGAATTTAGTCAGAAACAGCCCAGAGTGGGGACAGCCTACCAGACAAGTGGCCTCAGATCTTCCCCAAAAAGTCATTATCAGAAGAGAAAAAACAGCCTGGCATCCTAGCTAAAGAATAAGCAGACAGTCTTATTCTTATCCATGTGCAATATAGGAGTGGACACTCCAAAATTAGCAAAAATATTTTTTGGGAAAAATGACTGTTAGTGTGGACTCTATGGATTTATTTGGAAATTATTGATTTTCTTCGGTATAATAATGATGTTGGGGCTGGTGAGATGGCTCAGTGGTCTAAAGCACCTACTTGAAACAAGCTTGGCAAAGCACAGGGACCACGGTTCAATCCCCCAGCACCACATGCCAGCCAGCCCCGCCCCCTGGTGGGCTGAGCTGGCCACACACACATAAATGGATAGATGGATAAATAAATAAATTAAAAAAAAAAACAACTTTAAAAAAAAAATAATAATAATGATGTTTACATTATATATCAAGATATATAGATTGGCAGTACTAGGGAATTGAACCCAAATTGATCATTCATATGGATCTACATCCCAGCCTTTTTATTATTTTCTTATTTGAGACAGTTTTGGGGTTTTTTTTTTCTTTTTTGGTGTGTGTGTGTGTGTGTGTGTGTGTGTGTGTGTGTGTTGCTAGAACTCAAACCCAGGGCTTTCCACATATTAGCAGGTGCTCTGCCACTAACCACATCCCCAGCTATGCCCTTATTTTAAAGAAATGTATGGTCAGGAGCCCAGGACTGAAATATGATGCCTGTAACTTACCCTCATAATTCAGGAAAAAAAGAGAGAACCCACATGTGGCAAGATGCTAACCGAGGCAAATTTAGATGAAAGGGATAGTGGTTTATGTTGTACATTTCTATAGGTCTTTACATTCCAAAATAAAACCAAAATCTGGAAGAAAAATAACTTCAAAATAGCAAGAAAAGGTTGGAGTTGGGTTTTCCTGCTCTGCTAAGTAGAGGGCCAGGCCCGGTGACTGACACCTGCAGTCCTACCTATTAGAGAGGCAGAGGCAGAAGGATTGCAAATTTAAGTTGCACTCATCTTGGGTAATTTAGAAAGGCCCTGCCTCAAAATAAAAAATAAAAAGGGACAGGGACATACCTCAGTGGCAGAGCACCTATAGGTTGAATCCCCAGCACTACAAAATAATAAATAAATAAATAAATAAATAAATAGCAGAAGAAACCCCTTGCAGGACAGAAAGAAGGAGGGCTGCTGTCTGGCACGGCACCTCCCTATCAGCTGTGGAGGTGGGGTGAGGCTTCCCTTCCCATGCCTGTCTCATCATCTAAAAGCAGCTGCTGGGCTGGGGAGATAATTCAGCGGTCTAAGTGCCTGCCTAGCAAGTGCAAAGACCCGGCTCAATCCCTGGTACCACATGCTGTGCCAGCCCAGAACCCCAGACATGTGTCAGTCACCAGAACCAGGCGTGGTAGTGCATGCCTGTAATCCCAGCACTGGGGAGGCTGAGACAGGAGGATTACTGAGTCTGAGGTGCATAGCAAGACCCTGTACTAAATAAATAAAAGATTTTTTAAAAGAATTTAAAAGCAGCTGCTTCCAGATGCCTTGTTAGCTCCTCCCATGCCTGTAAGTCCAGATTTCTCAGTTGCAAAATTGGAATGTGGCACGAGACAGCTTTCCTCATTCCCCTGGAGTGCGTGTTGAGAAAGATGTGGGCATGGTGTGACTGAGGAGTCGCTACTCCAACACCTCAGCCTCCATACCTCCTGATACTTCCCGGCCCCAAGGGATTCGCTCCCTTCTCTCCTCTTGGCAAATCTGGCTTCCACCTCACTGGCTTCTCCCTCAGGGACTCCCTGGGTCCCCTGCACAGGTGGCACCTTCATGCCTCCAGATGCAGGACTTGGTGGCGGTGTGGACTGTGCATGTGCATGCATGTCTTCCCCTGGAGAGAGAGACTGTCTTGGGACCAAAAGATGGTTGAGTTTCTTTTTAGTACTGTAAGCATAGAGATACATTTCTCAGTCATTCGTGGTTCAGACATTTCTTGGTTCGTTCTTTTAATTAGTGTGGGTAAAGAGAAAGGAAATAGAGGTATTTAGGGTTCACAAGAGTCGTGGTCCTTTTTCCCTAGCCCCACTCCCCCAAAAAAGTCTTCAAGGGACAAGAAGTAGAACACTCAGCAAACTCAAACTTAAAAGCAAGCACTTATCAGCTCTTTCTGGAAAATCAGTGAGTCCCAGACACTGGAGCTGCAGAAATGCACTATACTTGAATAAAAGAAATAAAAGCAACCTGTCCCATGGGATTTGTGTTCTTGTTGGTGAAGGGAATAAACAGTCCCTCAGAACAGTGGCCCGAAGGGTCAGAGTGATAAGTCCAAGGCAGGAGGGCCCAGAGGACGTGCGTGTCAGCGTGCTCTCAGTGGCACAGTGACCCCCACCCCAGAAGTGACAGGTGTCGGCAGTCAGAGGAACTTACGAGGCTCAGAGAGCCAGAATGAAGATTCCCCACCAAGAGGCCTGGGGTGGCCCACTGCCCTCAGTGCCCCTGGGACACTCCACAAAGTCTGGACCCCACAGCCCTTGTGACTGCCACCTTGTCCTCTGGGATAAGAGAACAAGAGATAAAGATGGCCATCTAGAGAGCAGCGCCAAGCTCGCCCACCTGAAGGCTTCCTGCCTGAGGCTGTTCATTGAGAGGATGTTTTCCTGGTCTTAAGTGGGATCTGGGTACTAATCATGGTTGGAAATTGCTGGATTGTGTGTTTTCTGTGTAATCCCATCTAGAGCTAATATCGAAGATAGTCCAGCAGATCATTCCCCTTATTTTACAGAGCTGAGGCCGAACCATCCTCAGATCAGGTGGCTGCATGCGTGCACACACATATACCTGTGCAGGAGGGAGCCCGCTGACTGTGCCTGGGCCTTGTTCTCTGGCACCAGCCAGCCAGGCCGTCTGTAGCATGCCCATCCCATGCCCCATCCTCCCTCCCTTGCCCAGGAAAGACCGTGGTCAGAAGAGGAGCCCACAGGGACGTTTCCAAAGGAAGCAGCCAGAGTGAAAGATGAGAGCAGAGCAAATGGCCTCGTGAGAATGGAACAGGTCGCTTCGTGTGAAGTGAGAGTCGGTGTTTAAGCATCTAGTAGGTGGTGGGCCAGTACAAAGTACTGTATTTATGCATCTCTTCCTGGCACCACCATAAGGCACGCGTGCTACCCCAGTTCACTTCACCCTCAGGCTCTGCAGCTCTCTTCGAACCTCACCTCGTGGTTCCTGCTTCTGCCAGCTGCTGTCTCCTCCCCTTGAGACCCACATCCGTTTCCTGCCTTGGTCTGGGGTTGAAAGTCTTTGTCCTTAAGCCCACACAGCATTTTCTTCAGAAAGTCTCTCCTCTCCCCTCCTCCTGGGGATAAGTTTTGTAGTGCTTTGTCTGACTTCCCGACTAGCTAGGAGCCCTCTGAGGCAGAACCGGCCCCCTCCTGGTTCTTGTCTAAACATAGCTTGGCCTTACCAGTATCTGTGTTTGCCAGACTAAGGCTAAAATGCCATGCTCACTTTTAGGACCTGGCTCTAGAAGTGAACATGACAAGGCACGGGCTCAGTAGAAAGGCTTCCTGGGACGGCCAAAGGAGTGTGTGGTTGATCTAGGGAAGAGCTGACACCCATTTCAGTTGTCCAGTGGATTGTCATCAGCTGCCCCACCACCCCCAGCCCAGTAACTCTGGACAGCAGCGAGAACATGACACAGAGCAGCTGACCACTAGTGGACCACTTTGGAGAGTAGCAAGTTCTGTTCCGTGTCATTCAAAGCCTTGGTGCTGTCATCAGATCTGCTGTATTGAACCCTTGAAAGGCTAGGTCATCGAGGCTTCTTTTCAGTTCTGGGAGCCTACAGTGAGCGTTCAGGGGCCAGATATTCAGAACAGGCCCACGACCCAACACTGGCACATAACCATCAAGAAGCATGCATAGGAGTTCATCTAAAACAAAATGGGAGGAAGCCTGTACAGCACTCTATGCAGACATGGTGTTAGTCCGTGGTAATCTGTGCCTTAGCCAGTGAGGAAGTGCCCCTGGTATCCTTAGGAGCCCACGACACTGGCCAAGTTCAGGACTGCAAGTCACTGATTGAATGGGGAAAACCATGATTTCTGTCACCCAGTACCCACAGGGACCTTTTCCAAATATTTTGGTTCCCTGATTTCTTAAAGATGGTGAAGTGAGCATAATTTGGCTTTGCCCTGACTACCTGGCTTCGTTGTTATGCTTGTTCATAGGACACACCTCGCTTCTCTGTCATTGCTTCTGAAGGTTGGCTTTTGGGCTTTGTTTCCAGTTTGCTGTTGTCTTTAGGTGGCTGACAGCTCCACTCACCACTGCTGGAAGGGTCTCCCTTTAACAACTGCACCCCACTCTTCATTTCAGAAACCCTGATGTACCAGAGACAGGGATACACTCAGGGTTGGGCTTGTGTGTAAATGCGGAGCCCACAGGCTCTGAAGCAGCACTCTGCATTTACAGGATTTAGTGCAGTGCCTGGGGCGTTGCAGGCAGTTGGCAAGCTATAACGATTCCTCTCTTGGTCAGGGGCCTTTCCCCTAGAAGCGCAGCTGGAGCTCTTTCCCAGCTGTTCCAAGTTTGGCACCACACTTCCTTCCACTCCTTGTGGTCTCTGGAGCCTGACTGGCAGAACGCTTCTGCATGTCAAGTAGGCACTGGTCTCGGTTTCAGAAAGAGCAAAGCCAGCTTCCGTCCACTCTAGCTGAGACTAATGCTCCGGGCTGGGGGGGTTTCTTGCTCTGCAGTGAACAGAGTATTTGCCAAGCTCGGGCTTCCGTGATGGTCTACGATGACACCAGTAAGAAATGGGTACCAATCAAGCCTGGACAGCAGGGATTCAGCCGGATCAACATCTACCACAACACTGCCTGCAATGCCTTCAGAGTCGTTGGAGTCAAGCTACAGGATCAGCAGGTGAGTGTGGGGACACAGATTCTACCTCAAGCCTGTGCCCGAGCCCCCGTCACCACCTAGGGGAGGGGAGTAGTATTTGGAATCTGAGAACTGAGTTCACATTCTGACTCTGGTTTCTTAAGCAAGGTATGAAGCCTTAAGCAGTCTCTGTCTTCTGAACGTGGTTTCTCCATCCGTTGCCTGGAGACTGATCTATACACTGCCTGCTGTATGGTGTCAGTTGTCAGATTAGAATTAAATAGTTGATGTGGAAAAGCTTTGAAAGCCTGAGTGCATAAATGTTTCAGTCTTAATCCTGAGTTTACTCACCTATGAGGTAGCTATTAAGATTTTTAGTGACTTAGTCCTTTGACTTTGGAAAAATTTGGAGGTTACTGGAAAGCTGGGCCCATCTCTGCCCCGCCTGGGTAAGTCAGAAGCGGTGGTTCATGAGTGTGCCTGTGAAGTCCCCATGTAGAGGTAATCGCCCCTGTCCACCATGTCTTGAAGGTCACACCCAGCACTAAGGCAGAGCAGTTGGTTGGGACAGACTGAAGTCAGGATGTAAAGAAGTGGGATGCCTGCTCATCCGTGGTGATCTTGGAGAGCTCCCCTCCAGCTTCTTAGAGATTGATCAGGCATGTTTAGCAGTGAAGCTAACAGGTCTGTGGCCTCGGCCTTCATATCTAGGGGGCATCTGTTGGCCACACTCTGGCTAAGGTGAGGAGCAGGCAGCCTGCAGCTGCTAAAGAGTCTGTCTCTTGGCGGCTAGCAAGAGGACAGAAACTTGGGTTCTGCTTTTAGTGTGGCCCAAAGAAGGGCTTTCTACCTTGGCCAGAATAGCCCTATTTAGCTTTCATGTTCTGTGGCTGGAAGAGATGTCACCATTCAGGACCCGTGTATAAGGTAGTCTGGCCTTGAGTTCTTGGCCCCAGAAGCCTCCCTTTCCCTTGTTGGTGAGCCTTCGTGGCATGAGTTTTTCTAGAAACCTATCAGAAGTGGCTTCCCTGTCCTTCTAATTTACTGGTTTCAAATCTTCACACTGTGCCAGGCAGGATAGATTAAATCCTTGGCCCCAATTGTGGTGATAATCAAAAATGTCTCACAGACTTCCAGAACATTCCATGGGGGGTGTAATCACCCTCTGACACAGGCCCTGTACCAGTTGTAGTTCCTGAATCATAGTGGATGTCCCATGAGTGTTGGCTTCAGTTGTGCTAAGTGTTCCATTCCTTTCATGCCACTTGGTCTCCTTCAGGGCACACTGAGGAGACAGTGTGACTGAAAAGCACCTGTTCTCAGCCTGAACTGCTGCCCTCCTGTTAGAGGAAACCACACACTGAAGAAGAGCTGTTTTTCCCATGCAGGAAGGGATGGGCTATGTTGCCTCTAACTTAGAGACCTCCAGGAGTCTGCCAGGGAAGCATCAGAAACAGCCTTTGTGTTAGTCCGTTTCATCATTGTGGAGGCCCAATACTGACACCCACAAATCAAGGAAGAAGTTTATTTTGGCTCACACTCAGAAGGTCTCTGTCCACGCACAGCCAGGCAGCTCCACCAGGAAAATTGGCATGGCAGAAGGGCCTGGCAGAGGAGAGCTGCTGTGAGAGAGAAGAGGGGACCAGGTGGGGACCACCACATCCCCTCGGCCACCTCCTACCAGGACTCCCTCCTCACAGCAAGTCCCCATGACCTGGTCACTTCCCAAAATGAGGTTTTTGAGGAACACTGTAGATCAAAGTGTACCAGCCTTCCATGTGGAGTCGCATGTTCGAGGGCCAAGCTCCTTGGTGTGGCTGAGACTGTCTTCCCCAGCGGTGGGGCACACTGGTTGGGAGCATAAAAGTAATTCCTAGCTAGCAAGGGTGTCAGAGGAAGTAAGAGGGATTCTGGTACCCTCTTGACTTTGGTGATCTCAGAAGACAAGGATTGATGTTCACACGTTCCATTCATTGTGGACCACTATGTTAAAGTGGTCAAATATCTTGAGACAAAGATTCCTAGTCCTATAAGTAATGTGACATCTTATATGTTCAGTGTTCTTTGTGGATTACAGAGCACTCTCCTTTTGTTTTTTTCAGTTCTGGGGGTCAGACATAGAATCTTCGCGCTAGGCTACACCCACCCCCTTGTCTTATACTGTGTTGCCCAGGCTGGCTCAAGCTCACAGTCCTTTGGAGTCTTTTCATAGCCATTATTTCATGCTCCCAACAACCCTCTAAGGATAATGGTGCAAAAATTATTATCCCCATTTAAATTGTCCAGTAGGTAGATTCAAAACCAGATGCTCCTTTGTGGAGAAGAGCATAGGTACCAAAGTCTGACCTGAATCTCACGTGGAGAGAGGAAAAACCAAGAGGAGTTTTAGCTGAGACTGAGTGGTGGACACTGAAAATGTCAGTGGGTTCACAGGCCACAGTAACGGAAGTACTGTGGATAATACTGGGGAGTTACTAGCAGCAGGCAGAGTGAGTTCATAGAGGGGAGGACTGAAAAGGGGACACCATAGCCCTGCTGGGCACTGCACTGCCCGTCCTACGCCCAGAATGTCAGGGCCGCACATGGATGGTGAGGACTGGAAAGGACAAGGAGGGGCACCCAGGGCGCAGAGTGATATATAGAGCAAGGAGGAGGAACAGGATCCTCTCCCCAGGGAAGAGAGCAGCAGAAGGGCGTAGGCTTGCCATGTCCACTGTTCACACACACCCCAGAGAACAGCCCTAGCAAGACTGTGGGAACAGCGTCACAAAGGAGAGCTGAACTCAATCAGAGGAAGCTTTTCCAAGAGCCTGTGGCTGGGATGGAGTTCTGCGGGAGACTGCTAGGGAATGGAATCCCACCGTGAGCCCTCAGCAAAGATGGGGACTAATTCAACACAAGTGTTAGAGGTGGGGCTCTGTGGAGGTGCATAGCACTAGATAAGGCCTCCACTAAGCCCTGTATTGAATCCTCGTGGCTCTCTAAGAGGGAACAAACAGAAGGGACTGTCCCTGTACCCCATGGGAATTGCTAGCAGGAAGGCCATCATCAGGCATGGGCTCTTGATCCCCAGAACTATGAGCAGAAGAAACCTCTTTTCTTCATGAAGTTAGACCATAAAGTTAGGAATTTCATTCACTGAATTTGAATTCACTGAATTGAAATTTCATTTTCAACACTGAAAAAGTAGGTACTTTGTAAGCATACTGTTCAAGGATGCAGTGTGCTGCGCTGTGTGTGAGCCCTCGAGGCGCTGGGGTTCAGGAAGATTATGAGAGATTATTAAATTTGGCTTGGAAGGTCCTTCCAAAGTCTTGGCCAGTCTGTCCATCCTGTTGTTTGTAGAGCCAAGTAAATGCATAGCATCAGGAAGACTATTAACCACTAAATGTCTTTTTGTAAAGGACTCTTAACTTTTTACTCAAGAGTCTCAAAAACATGTTCAGTGGTATTTGGAGGTACCAGAGCTTCCTTGAAAAGAATAGGAAAGACAGTCTGCACTCCCCAGAATAAACACTGTGTGAGCACCATGATGTGGGCTTCCCGTCAGAAAGCGCATTTTAGAATAAGTTTATCCTTCCGCAGGTATCTAGCGCAGTCCTGCAAAATCCTTGGGAGTAAGTCTTGAAATACAGCTCATTAGAAGAGGTTGAAATTTTACAGTTGGAAAGAGATAAATGTTGCGGGCATAGACCCGAAATACTGGCATGATCATATCGTCAAACAAGATAGAACTTCAGATAACAAGTATTATGAAAGAGGAAGACTGGAGTTTTCTTCTTAAATAAAAAGGTCAAAGCACCTGCAAGGAGGCGCAGGGGCTGGGAGTTTGACCCCCCGATCCCCGGGCCTGCTCTGCTGACCCCACCCCTGGGGCACGCTGAGACAGCAATTGAGACTAGGCGTGCTGGCGCGCCTGTAATCCCAGCTCTTGGGAGGCTGTAAACAGGTGGATCACCAGGAGTCTGATCTAGTATTGAAACCCTGAACACCCTGTAGACCCTTCCCTAAAATAAAAATAAAAAAAAAAGATGCAAAAGTCAATGAAAGATAATCCTAAATTTGTATTATCTAATAAAATGTGTTGTAAAATATATGAAGCAAAAGTGGACCAATTTAAAGGTTTTGAGGAATAATCAAATTCAGAGCCATATTTAGATTCTAATCTTACCTCAAGTAATGGATTGTTCAAGCAAATGTAAGAAAAACATCAAAGCTATGAATGACATTGTTCACATATTTGACCTAATTTGTACTGGTAGGAAGTACAGCCAGTACCTGTATAATGTACATTCTTCCCAGGACATAAAACATTGACCAAAAAAAGACCATGTGCTAAAAAGAATTAAAATCAGGCAGGGCAGAGTGAAGACGGCAGAGATCGTTGGGTAGACAAACATTATAGGAGAACAAAATCATTGTTGACCATTAAAATATTTCTGTTGAGCTGGAGGGATAGCTCGGTGGTCTAAGCACCTACTTGGCAAGTGGAAGGTCCTGAGTTCAATCCCTGGTACCACTTACCATGCCAACCCCAAGTTTCTAGGTGCTCAGTGCTGGCCCTGAAAGCTGGTGTGGTGGCACATACCTGTAATCCCTGCACTGGAGAGGCTCAGACAGGAGGGTCACTACAAGTCCAAACTGCATAGTGAGAACCTGTATCAACAATAAATAAATACGAGTCTGAATTAATGACAAAGAATTTTTTAAAATAGAATAAAATAGTTTCTATCATTAAGAGACAATATTAAGAGAATGAAAACCCAAGCTACAGAGTGAAAGAGGATATTCACAGTACATACATTTAAGTAAGACAAAGCACTTGTGAAAACTTACATAGAATAATCCAAAAGAATCAGTAAAAAAAAAAAAGACAGATAACTTTTCAAAATTGATGAATAAACTTGAACAAAAGAGCAGTGGAACATAAAAAATGGCCTGGAAGTGTGTGACAGTTCTCTGCATTGTTGATCATCAGAGAAATACAAACGAAAGGTACAGCGAGCTAGCTCTGCTCGCACGAGGGGCTACGGTTAAACAGACTGACAGTACCAGAGTTGCCAAGCAACGGGAGCGCTCTTTACTGCTGATAGGAGTGAAAATCAGCGTCGCCTCTTTGGAAAACTGACTGAGCCCGCTAAACTAAATGCACATGTACCTTAAAACCCAACCCCAGGTGTGTCCCACGAGGAAGGAGTGCTTGTGTTCCCTAAAAGGCACGCATAAAAATGTTTATCACAATGGCAGAGAACTGGGAACTGTCCAGATGCCCATCAACAGGAGAATGAAGATGTTAGTTGTGGCTTAGAAGTGCAACCCATGTGGCAATCAAAAGGATTTAAGTACTGATGGATGCATAAGACTGGTCAATCTCAAAGACCTTGTGTTGAGAGAAAAGCCAGAAACAAAAGAATATGTGCCCTGTGAATTCAATTCTGTGTAGTTTATTTATTTATTTGTTTGTTTGTTTATTTTGGCAGAACCAGGGATTGAACTCAGACCTTTGCACTTGCCAGGCAAACACTTATTCTACTGAGCTATCTCCCTAGCCCCTGTGTAGTTTAAAAGAGTCAAAAGTTAATGATGGTGGGGCTGGTGAGATGGCTCAGTGGTCTAAAGCACCTACTTAAAACAAGCTCAGCAAAGCACAGGGACCGTGGTTCAATCCCCCAGCACCACATGCCAGCCAGCCCGCCCCCTGGTGGGCTGAGCTGGCCACACACACACACACACACACACACACACACAAATTTAAAAAAAAAAAAAGATTTTAAAAAGAAAGTTAATGATGGTGACAGAGGTCAGAAATGTAGTTATCTCTGCAGGATGGGGTTGAGACAAGGTGTTAAAAGATGCCATATCCGAAGTGGACGTACATGGGCTGGGGAGATAGCTCAGTAGAATAAGCACCTGCCTAACAAGTGCGGAGTCCTGAGTTCAATCCCCAGTACTACAAAAAAGAAAATAAATAAATGAAGTGGACATGCAGTACCACACAGTGTCCAGTTGGGTCCTCCAACTCATGCTAATCTGAGTAAACTATGGAACAGAACCTCTGAGCAGATGCTGATGCTGAGGTGATAGCTATTGACCAGTCAGGTCTAGCTGCCAGTTAATACAGGACACCTCTGCGGATGGTCAAGTGACATGTTGGACTTTTCTTTACAGGTGCTTTAGAAGTACTTTTCTAAGAAGTAAAAGTAAGTTTTTAAATGGTTGTGTACACCTAGTAGTTCCAGCTATAGAAATCTATCCCATAGAAATACATATATACACATGGGTACTCAGTATGGCCAGATTTGTAATATTACCTTCATTTTATGGATGCAGAAACTGATGTACCTTGTCCAGTGTGACTCAAGTGAAAGGCAGTAAAACCAGGATCCTGCCACTCCTTGTCTCTAGCGCCATAGCTGTCTTCAGAGGGTGGGGGTGGGGTGGACATGGCGGCTGGCAACGCTTGATGAGCACTCCATACTCCAGGTGTAGACAAAACAGGCGTCCTGGCAAAGTGCTGCCCATGGACGTACACAGTGTCTCCTAGATGGGGACCTTTGCGTTCTCCAGATCTAGCACCTAAAGCTCCCTCGGCCAGAATCAGTCGCTGAGGCTTCAGAGGTTAGAGCTAGGAATTGTGGGAAGAAGGATTTCAACTCACCCTGTGGGCAATAGGAGCAGAGATGTAGGCTGCAGACCTGAATGGTAAATCCAGCCTTCCCACTAAGTTGCTGTGCAACTCTGGACAAGTCTTTCATTCTCCCTGGGTTCTATTTCCCAACTGTAAGAAGAAAAGATAGAGCTGCATAATCCATAAGGTTCCTCTGAGTTCCAGCTAGTCTGCTAGTCATACTGTCCCATATTCCAGAGAGGCACTAGCTGCACCCCCATCCTCATCCACCAGATTTTGTACCACCACACTCTAATCCTCATCCCCCGAACACCCCTCAAGTATCTGGAAACAGCAGTGGTGATACAGCAAAGAATCTTCCTCCCCTCTGCTTTGTTATCTTCCCACCATTCTTGATAGGAAGTGATTTCCAGCCTTTCTCCCATGTAAAACATTTTGCTTTGGCTTGTTCTAGTTTGCTAATGTCCACTGAAAGTACAGCAAAACAAAAATAATTAAACACAGAACCTCTCGTTATCTGTCTCATTCTGGTTGCTTTGCCACTACTAATGTGTCCCCTAATCTTAAGAGGACATCTGTGCCTTAACCATGGTCACTTTCCAGTTCTTTTCATGCATGTACTCCATAAAGCCTCCAGCCCTTTTTCTGATGACCCAGAAGTAAGCCTAATCATTTCCACTCAGTTATTTTGCTTTATCTGTGTATTCAGGTGAATCTTGTAGGACAAAGAATGAAAAATAGTCATGCAAGAACATCTGTGTAGAGGTGTGGGCTGAAATACCTGCCTGCCAGTATGTAGCAATTAAATTATGAAATGCATGCCTCTCAGGTGATTTGGCACATGTTCCTGGCTTGCTTGCCCTCTCATACCCTGAATCTCTTCCTGATGGGGCACAGCAGAGAGAGCTGTCCCCAACTCCAATCACAGAGCCCTTGGAGCCAGTGGCCACAGGAGATCCGTCTTAGTTCCCTTTCTTGTTGCTCAGACAAAATACCCAATGCTGAAAGTTAAAGGAGGAAAGGTTTGCATGGCTCACAGTGTGTCTAGGTTACAGTCGATATAATCAGCAGGCTCCAAGGCAGGGGGCACAGCAGGGGACAACAGTTCATGGCAGGCAGAGGCAGAGAGGCAGCAACAAACAGCAGCAGCCCCCTCTCTTATAATTTATCAAGGGTACCTGCCCTTGGGGTGGGAAGCACTCATGCCCTTAACGCTAGCATCACAATGTGAATCAGTCCCAGTGTCACATCCTGGATACCAGCATCACACGTAGATCTGCTGAAAAGCTTGCCTCTGACCACATTAGGCTTTGGGGGAGCAGCTAGACACAAGGCATCATGAAACCTCGGAAGCATCGTGCCCCTCTCCTACAGCCAGCTCTGTCCACCACGTGCCTAGCAGCTGGCCATCCAGCCTCTCCAGACGCTGCCTGCTTTCCCCTTAGATAAAGACCTTATTGTATTCCAGCTGGCGCAGATGGACAGCTTGCTGTGTGACAAGGCCAGTGGGAGGTCTTCATGGGTAGGATCCAGTGCCCACAGCGTGCTGCAAGGGTGCCACACCACTGCCATATCATACTCTGTTTCACAGACCAGAAAGCAGACGGCTCGGAAGTTCTGCCCAAGGATTGGAGCAGCAGGATGATGACCGAAGCCCACCAGGCCTTCATGAACCACTTACTAAATGCAGTTTTCAGTGTCATTCTTTTTGTTTCTTTACTTTTTCTCTCAGTGCTAGGAATCAAAACCCGGACCTCACACACGCTAAATGAGCTGTGCACCACTGAGCTCTGTGCTCAGCCCACTAATTGTCTTGTATTTGTCTACAAGAGCCCTTTAGAGATGAGACAGACCTGTCGTTGAGTCTTGACTGGCATGAGCCGTGGTGTCTGGCTCCTGTCTTGTCTTTTTGTCTTTCCCTGCCAGACCTGGTATTGCTTTTGGTGGTCAGGTGATAATTGTTGTTTGATTAATAATGAAGACAGTAAGAATGCAGCATATGTACATAGCATATTCGCTTTTCCAAGTTATCCTCTTAGCTAATAACTTAGTGTGTATTTGGTACTGGAGATTGCCCCCAGGGCCTTTGCATTGAGTTACATCCCCACCCCTCTTTGTAACTTTGAGACAGGGTCTTGCAAAGGTACCTAAGCTAAGCTAGAACTTGCAAGCCTCCTGCCTCGGTCTCCCACAGTGCTGGAATGATAGACATGAACATTTATAAATACATTCTTAAGCAGTAAACATTGTGCTGAGGCCTATGGGAGGCACAAGCATGCGTCACAAGAGTGTATCCCTGAGGAATCATCTGTGGAAGATAAGATGTGAGTGAGATGCAAACAAGGTACATGCTACACCGTGCTCCTCACTGGAACTCCTTAGGGTCGCCAGTATCATGTGCGCGTCTCAGGGTTGGAGCAAGCAGGAGCATCGGAGGGCTCTGGCTCCCTCGGTCACACTGACTCCCAGCTCAGGCCTTGGCTTCTGGGGGCCGGGACCTTGCAGCATCATAATTACATGAAAGAAGCAGCTTCTCAGCCCTTCCCTGCACTACACATTTGGGTCTAAAATGTACCTGGCTGTGCTTTCCCCTTCATCAGACCCCATTGCCACCCCTCGCTCACCCCAGGGATATGCTTTCTTTGGCCTGTTGTAGCTCTGGCCAGCTCGCTTACATTTTACTTATTTACACATGTTTCTCTCTCTTTTCTCCTCCAGGTTGTGATCAATTATTCAATAGTGAAAGGGCTGAAGTACAATCAGGCAACACCAACCTTCCACCAGTGGCGAGACGCCCGCCAGGTCTACGGCTTAAACTTTGCCAGTAAGGAAGAGGCGACCACGTTCTCCAATGCAATGCTGTTTGCCCTGAACATCATGAACTCCCAAGAAGGAGGTAAGCAGGGCGTGGGCGTGGCCTGGAGCCCGTGTCCTCTCCCATGCTGCCTGGGCACTCGAGCTTCTAGTTCTCCGGCATCCTAGCACTGCCGCTGCGCTGAGTGACGTGACGTGGGCCCCCAAGGGCCCTGCTACCTGACTGTAGGCTTAGAGAAATGTGAGCAGTGGGAAGGAGAAAATGCATTTGCGTCTCTGACCACATAGGAGACACGGGAGTGCTGGCGTGCTCCCATGGCTCCGCGCCTCCTCGGCTGTGCTGCCCCATGTTGCAGAACACGGTTGCCAGACATGAACAAGCAGCTGGCTCACTTGAGCTCAGGCGTTGTCCATTTAGCAGGTGCTTACCAGCTAGTGTGAGATCCTGGCCTGGTAGGCCAGATGGGAAGCGAGCCGAAGCTCCCCTCAAGTACTCCGTGTGTCGCGGTGGACAGGTTCATTTACAAACAGCGTAGCCCAGGAAGTGCTCTAACAGGCACCGAAAGGCGCTTGAGGAAACAAGAAAGAAAGCAGGCAACCCTGCCCATCCAGGCCACCAAGAGCTCTGCAGCAGTGGCGACACTGGAGAGCGAGTGGGAGTGCTGAGGGTGGGACTTCAGGAGGCAGAGGTGTGAGTGCGTGTCTCAGATGGGGGAGCTGGAGGCCCAGAGGAGCCTGCACACACTGGGAAGCCCCTAATGCCCCACGTCTGGAGCCCGGCACAGGCAGGAAGGAGGTTGGAAGCAAAACTGAAGAGAGGAGTGCTTGTGCTGTGAAAACCACACAAACCTGCAAGACTCGGGTGAGCTAGGTACTCTGTAGAGATGGTGGGAAGAGATCTGGGAAAATTTGCTGAGCAGAGTGATTAAAGCAGAAAAGCAAAACTGCAAACTCAGGAACTTGTGCTACGTGTGGCTCTTACTGGACATTGATAGTGGTAGCTGCAGAGGGAGGACTGAGGCCTTCCCACCCGGGGTGTCTTGGCCGCTGCAGACGTGGTCCTCAGGTGGCTGGGACCTTACGCTGGTGTAGACTCTGGTTAAGAGTCCGAGCTCAGAGTCACAGTGCTTGGTTTGAGCCTGGGTTCCACCACATTCTAGCTGAGGAACTCTTGGGTGACTTATGTTTTCTGTGTCTCAATATCCTTATCTAGAAATGGGGGCATTCGGTGTTCTTTGTTACATTTATTTATTTATTTAGTTATTTATTTCATAATTTTATTGATAAACAAATAGCAATGAGACAGTTTCAAACCATATTGGTAGGACAGTTTCAATAATCAACACATTGCATACATTCTTCCTAGTGGTTAATTGCTGTACAAGATGCGAACATGATATCCTATTTACAAACACCATTAGAACAAATCCCTCTGTTCATTGAAAGAATGTAACTATATATCTTTCCTAACCATTTTGAATACACAGATACAAAATGGACATTCATCTGTATCCCTTTTTTTTTGTTAAGTTCTGTTATTTGAATATTATAGGTGTGTAAACTCAGCAAAATATTCTAAGAGTTCAGTAGTCCATAATAGTATTGGGTCTTCTGCTTCACTGGCAGTATCAGAAATTGTTGACCTGAGTCCCCTGCAGCTCCACATAACAGCATGGCTTTACTTCTTATACTTTGTTTTTATACTTTTCTGCTGGATGTTTGTTACATTTAAATGAGCTAGAAGGTGAAATGTTTAGCAGGCAGCACACCATGCTTTGGTATTTGTGTTCATGAGTAACACTGCTGTCACTCATGCTGCTGTTGCTGTCTCCACCGCCACCCCCACCACCGACTAAGGAGGGAAGTTGGGAGGCTCAGGGTTTGTGGGGCCAAGGCAAGTGGTATTAAATATCTGTTGAGCTTGATGCATCTGGGCCTTGGGGCCCAGGTGAAACCCTGGGAGAGCGTTTGTAGGTGAACAGAGACCAGCTGTGCGTGATCTCCAGGCTGTGTGCAGGGTGTGGATTTCCTCCTCAAACAGTGTGTGTAGTAAGGGAGCAATGTTGGTAACAAGCACAGGGCCTGAGCACTGTGGGCACCGGAGATGTTTAGCAACTTCTTCCACCAGAGAGCTTTGAACCAAGTTTAGTGCTTCTCTTGAGCTCACTTCCTGCCTCCACCCATCCCAGATGTGGGAGTTATTTTATCTGTACTTAAGGAAACAGTAAGAGGACAAACAGGGTGAACCTGTTCATTCAAAGCAAGTGCTTTGGTTACCTAAAAACTATTAGTCATTTTATTAAACTCACTATCCCATCACAGGTAAATCAGTTCATCCAGCCCTCATTTTTGGGAAGGACAGCTGTGACTCATCATGAGGAAAGTAACTTCTTGGTGTCAGATTCTGAACCCAGGCCTCCCTGTGCCCTACAGATGCAGTGGGTGTCCTAGGAGTGGGGACAGGGTGGGCGGAACCTGACCTTGGGCATAGCTGCAACAGAAGAACCTGCACCCCCGAGGACCAAACCGTTCCTCCAGCTGAGGTGTGAACTACTACGATGCCAGGCACAGATCAAAGTGTGCGGCTTAGTAGGTTGTTGCGCTTGTGGGTCTCCAGTCCTCACTGCCAGGTCTGATCCAAAGTGTCCTCGGCCCCAGAAGGCTCGGGCACACACGAGGCCACTTGCGGAAGGCACTGTCGTTGTGAGGCCTCCCTTGGTACCATCACACGGTGTGTAAACGGGGTGAGTGGTACAGGTGCTCGTCACATGGGCTCTTGCGGCGCACTCTCCAAAGCAGAGGGAAGGATTCAGACCCAGGTCCGTGCCTAGTGCCTCATACAAGCTCAGGTGCACCCCTTCTTACACTGTGAGTGGGTCTGGCTCTGAGGTAGACAGCCAGCTCTCCAGGGGCCACCCTTTAGATACCCTTGCTCAGACTTGGTGTCTCCCCCGTTTCCCCCCTTTCCCCCACCGTGAATGGCACCAGTGTGGGCTCTGCTGGGAGCTCTCATGCTGGGAGACCTGGATCGTTAGGGAGTAATCAGAGTAAGCTGAAAACAAAGCGTATCCACTGCTGCTCAGCACAGGCTGCCTTCCCACCCCGTGTTCCTGGCCGACTGCCACAACCCTGGAGACACCACGATACATCATCCCTGCTCAAGACTGGAAACCAGGGCTCAGAGAGAGGAGCAACTTCCCTGTAGTCCCCCAGCCACAGAATTAGTCAAAGCCCGAAGCTGGACTCACCTGCTCCCATGGCTCATACTGTCTGCGAGCTACAGAGGGGCAGAGGGCTGGGCTCCAATGTAGCTTCTTCCATTCCATTCTGCTGCTCTGTAGTGAAGCCCATTGCTGACCCAGGATTCTTAGCAGTACTGTAGAGGACTATCTTGAACACTTTTTCTCATGTCTAGGACAAAATACTTGACACCCAAAGTTAAGGAAACAAAGGCTTATTTAGCTCACAGTTAGTGGAGGTGTCAGTCCATGCTTGGCTGGCTCCAAGGCAGAGTGGCACATGGCAGAGGGCAGCCATTCATAGTGGCAGAAAACAGCAAAAGCAACAAGAACAAGAAGGGAGCAGCAGCAGAGAGCCAATCTCCCTTATATTGCAGTCAGGCCATCTGCCCCAGGGCAGTGTAGCACTCGCACCCATAATCTCAGCATTTTTTTTTCTTTAATGTATTTGGTACAGGGTCTACAGGGTGTTCAGGGTCTCACTACATAGATCAGACTCATAGTGATTCTCCTGTTTTCAACCACCCAAGTGCTGGGATTATAGGTGTGCACCACCACGCCCAGTCTCAATTGCCTGACTCAGCATGCCCTGGGGGCGGGGCTGGCACTGCACACTGGGGATCAAACCCCATCTGCTGTGTCTGCCTAAGCAGGTGCTTCAGTCCTCTCAGCTATCTAGCCAGCCCCATAATCTCAGCATTGAACCATGAATCAATCACATACTAGAAGGGGCTGGGGAGATAGCTCAGTAGCAAGGACCTGAGTTCAATCCCAGATTCCGATAAAAATAAAAAAAATCACAAACTAGAGAAGTCTCCCCATGACTGCATAAGGCTTTGGGGGGACATCTAGACACAAACTATAGCAAGTAGTGACACATATTATACAGTAAGTAATACCTGGCTTTTACACATAGGTAGAAAAGATCTATTTCCTGACACCTTTAGTGATACCTACTGTGTCCATTTTCTTGGGGCAGTGGGCTTGGAATGTTTATGCTTTAACTTTAGGCCCAACCTGGGAAACCTAAAGTCAGGTTATTGGATAAAAATTGATAAATACGGAGCCCAGTGGTTTCAATTCCCTAAGCAGAGGAAGGAATGCAGCACTACGTCTGTGTTCTCGTGGGTCCCAGAGAGCTTTGGGATCCGGAATTCGCCAGTGGATGGAGATGCTCACTCTGTGGCTCACTGGGCTCTTCTGGCAGAAATTGCTGCCTGGAAGTTGTCCTGGAAGGGGGAGGGGCTGGCGGGTGCTAATGCTCTGCTCTGTTGAGTGAATGGGATGGAGGCGGTTTGGGTTGGCTCCAGGGGGCCCCTGTGGGGACAGAGGGTGGTGCAGCCTAGCAGTGGTGGCTGAGTTGGTATCCACTGATGCGCTGTCCCAGCACGCAGCACACAGACCGTGCTGAACATCTTTCCAGGCAGGTTACAGCAGCCCAGGATGGTGCACAGGCTTAGGGAGGAACTCAGGGGCTTCTGTGGCCTTGTGAATGCTAAAGCGATGGTGTTTTTTGTTTTGTTTTCCTTTGGTGGAACCAGGGATTGAACTCAGGCCCTTGCACTTGCCAGGGAAGCGCTTATTCCACGGAGCCATCTCCCCAGCCCTGGTGTTTTTCTTAAAGCCGGAGCCACTGGGATACATTTATTCCACTAGAGATCTGGGATCCAGAAAAAAAATGCACCTGCCAGAAGCTTTAGTGGACCTGAAACTCAAGGTTAGGCCTTCTGGTTGTAGCTTTTCTGCAGCTCACTGCCTCACAGGTTAGAGAGGGCCAGGAAGCTCACGTAACAAGCTCGTGTTGCATGAGCTCTGCCCGTGCCCCCAACCCTGGTGGTCCCCT